TCGATATGCATTATGTAAAACCGGCGACTACCGCGTCGTAATTGTATCGTTTTGATAAGTAAGCTCGCACGCTTGTTTCCTCATCTCCGATTTTGTGATTTCACTTTATTTTTTGCGTTCATCTCCTGTCTTTTCTGCTTTCGATTCCACGTGATTCATTTCGATCGATTATTCGTTTCAGAATTTTTTTAAAAATTATAATTAATTTATAACATAAGATAGAAAATCTCCTTTTGTAGGAGTGTAATAATCATTGAATTTTAATAGATTATCAATCAGAATTGGTCAACCATGACATTACAATTAATTTATAGTGGATGCTTGGATTTAGAGTGCATTAGAGATCGAATAGTGCAAAAGGTTTAACTCAATACATAACGAAAACTACGGCACAGTAATCGCGTCTGTATTTAGTGCGTTCTAGTACTAGGAAACTCACTTACGAACACATGTGATTGGAGATTACCGTAATCATCCCGTGATTATTTCACCGGATTAACTCTTCTGTTGAATGGTTGGCCAGTTACTGTACACGAATCTGTGAGATGTATTTAAAATGCATTTGTAAAACAATATAAATGCAAACGTTATTAAGAGATTGAAGTTATAATTCAAACTTTTGAAATTTAATCAAGGAAAGAAGTTTAATTATTTTAGAATAATTAAATATTTCTTTATTAAATTATTTGAGATATTATTTCATTCTGTTACTTTATAAATTATATAATAAATATTTCGAGAAGACAAAGGGAGATGGGAAAACAAGGAGTACGAAGATTCTACGCGAATCAAAGGGAATATTTGTCATGGATGATATATGTGGTTGATGATCGAAATCGGAGAGACAGGTCGCAGATTAAAAGGGTAAATAGAAAAGGCACGGCCTCTCTGCTTGATTGCACGGTTCGTGAAGAGAGATATTTGTCTTGGAGATGAAATATGTGCGATGCAATTAGACCGGAACGTCAGGAACTAGCTGTATGAAGAAGCAAACAGATGTCTTAAGAAATCTGTCATCTAATCGAAAAAGATAAATCGTATTTAGAATGTGAAGAGAATATGAAAATTGATAAAATACATTTTATAAAGTATAAACATACTAAGACGTTTGGATTTTTATAATTACTTAATACTTTCAGAGCACTCTGCCTAATATGAAAATCATCTATAGATATAATCACTATCAAAAGAATTTCCAATTTTATTAACTGAAATGTAATATTTTCACACGAATATTATACAAATAAGGATACAATAAGGTATTGAGAAATTGAACGATCAAGATCTTAATGGTATTTATTTGTCAAAAGTATACATATTCGACTCTCAATAATTTTCTAACCATTCAACAATGTTCTGATTTCAGGTTCCTCAAATTTCCAATGGAACTTTAAACCATCATTCATGGCTCCTTAAACCTTCGCCCTCGGCTGCGTTAATTCTCAAGTATTATCAATTCAAGAGCAGCTTCAGAGGCACTCGACGCGTCATCAATAAACGATTATCCCCGTTTGGATCTATCTCATCCTAGGATCCTTGTCTTGTCGATCGTCCGCGTGGATCCCATCGATCATCTTCGACGGCGATTCAGGTTGGACGAAACCTGAAAAAAGGTAAATACACATGTAGAAAAAGGAGCGGAAAGGAAGAAATTGATCCTGCCTGTTGAATCCTCGACTTACAAAATACTCGATACTCAGAGGAGGTCGGCTTTCGTTCGTCGGCTCTATCTTCATGCGAAACCATGAAAGAGGCAGGTGGCTCTGCGGCCATAAATGGGTGATGGACGACGTAACGATCTCTTCACTCTCTCGTATGAACGTCACAATTAGCCATCTACGTAGACATGGCTACGAACTAACAAACGGACCGAACAAACTGTCCTGTCTATCTGTTTGTCTATCGGATCTGTCGCTGGCGCGGCCAGCAGGAATTGCGTTCGTTCAATTAACGATAGACTCGATTAACTGTATTCCCTCCGGTGGTGAGCTGGTGCGAATATAAATTAGCGACTTCGATCGATTGTTTTGCCGTAGGTCCGGGAGAGATCGAGAAAGCAGGTGGCGACCGATCGCACGCATCCGGACTTTGAATCGCCGATTTCGAGTACTCAGATTTTGGGAGTAGAAATTTGATTGATTGTTGGATGAGAAGGATGAAAATTGGAGTGTAAGAATAATTTCATTTGTTTGAAATTATACGAAATTATACGGAAAGGAATTTATATATTGGAAGTTTATTCAATCTTTTCACTTGTATAAAGCAGAATGAGAGATTTTAATAGAATTCTACTGTAATATTTCAAGAAATATTCATTTGTTTCTTTCATGCGACAATTCTTTCACGTCTTTAGTAGACATTTTTTAAGTTTAAAGGAAAAAGAAGTAACTCGGTAAGTTTTCAGCCAAGATCGTAAAGTGAAGTTTTCTTCACTGTGAATTCCACAATTAGTTTTATTCAGTGAAAAATACCCAGCTTGACGCCATGGTCAAGAATCTAATTACCTGATTCTGAAAGAAGCTTCACCTCGAAAATTGAAGTTTCTAAACTACTACGTGTTAACATTATCAACAAAGTTGGTCACACTACAGTGAAAACTTTTCTATTTTCATCAAATTGCTCTTTGATTTCTCGCGATCTTGCAGAAATCTTGTTGCCACGAAAATTAGGCTATACTTTTAAACGCTAAAGAAGAAAGATTATCCTCTGGATCCGATTTTTCCGGTGGAAAAAATCGAAATTGAGCTAGAGCATTTATAATTGAATGATAAAAATAAAAAAGAAAAAATAGGGGGAGAAAAAATAATT